ATGTAAGAATATATCATGTTTCAATATGATTCAACTCTAAATGTACACTCAGAGGTGACAGGCTAACTTAAGTAATAAAGTCTTATACAAAGAAAGAGGTGGGAGTTCTCCAATTTCTATGTCTGGTAAAAGACCCAAAGAGCATCTGGTTGTCATATTACGGTTATTTATGAAACATAGGAAATGTTTATACCAACAGAGCAGCAGATGAAGCTTGCTGATATATCTGGAAATCCAGCAGGATGGGCATTCACATTAACACAGAGGTTGCTCAGCAAAATGCAGACCCAGTCTAACTAGTGGTGGGACAGACCTGATGATGATTAACCGGGAATGCTCATCAGGGAGGCTGAATCTGGGGTGGAGACTTTCTTTGGTCTCAATGTTCTGTTCACCACACACAGTTGGCTTTTCCCAGACATTTCTCTTCCATGTTCTTGAAAATAGGACCCAGGTTCAAGTTTGGCAAAGGTAACAGAAAATTGTTCAGTACCTTAAAATGCCAAGTTCTACCAATTCAGTCTTAATTATTATGTTACTCCTTGGTACTCCAGTTTAAATAGAACATATATGGTGTCTAAGGAATTATTTTCTTTTTCTTAACACAGTAAAGATTTTTTGTTTTTTCTTGCTTATATCACCATCTAGTACAGTGGGGAAACTCTATTCCATGCAGTCATTCAGGAACCTAATCTACTTCCATTTTGCAGTTCAAATAATTATCCTTTAGAGTTGGGGTTATGTCTGTTCAGATGGGTGGAAAACTGTAACGTGTGGACATATGTCCAAACATGAAAGTAGATATTGGTTCAGGCATAGTCTGAGGAGTCTGTGAGAGTGATAACTGTTAAATTCCCTGAGGATAGAAACTCTGAAAGAACTTAGCACCAAGCCAAGCACAGAGAAGATGCTCAATGAATGCTAAAGGAAGGTACAAGAGATTGAATAAATGAGATTTCAGTGCTAAGGAAGCTCTGAATGGCAGGAAGTTTGCTTCCATCAGTTTGAGTGGAGACCAGGCTGAATATTTTTTTAAATGTCCCCAAGTTGTTCTAATGTGAAGACATTATCTAGTCCAGGGTTTTTCGACCTCAGTACTATTGATATTTGGGGCAGAATAATTACTCGTTCTAGGGTCTGTCCTGTGCACTGTAGGATGTTGAGTAGCATCCCTGGCTTCCACCCGTTCGATACCAGTTGTAACTCTCTTCCTCCATCCCCACCTCCACTTTGTAACAATTAAAAATGTCTTCAGACATGGCCAAATGTCCCCAGGGAGCAGAATCACCTCCACTTGAAAACCACTCATCTACTCTAACTCTGATTTTACAAATGAAGAAACAGAAGCTCAGAAAGGTCAACTCACTTGGCTAAAAGGGCACATTACAAGGAAGTTATGGAGCCCAAGCTTCTAATTCCTTCCACTTCACTAAATAGACTTTCTTATCCCTTTCACGTCTGGTAAGACATATAAATTTCACTCTCCTGGGAGTCTTAAATCCAGTGCACCAAATCATAGAATCCTAGAGAAGAATGGGTTGGGAAGGCATCAAGTTTAGCTCCCTATTGTTCAGGACAGATTCTCTTCCTGGAAACTGATAGAAATGGACAATTCAAAGTCTTTTTCTATGACCCATGTCTGTATTTTACCAGTTCATGATTAAATATTCTTCCTTGTGACCAAGGGAAACTGTTCTTATTTCTGTTCAAACCCATTTCCTCTTGTCCAAGCCTCTGCAGATACAGACAATAGTTTTGTAATGTCCTCTTTAAGACCTTCATAGACCTGAGGATATATGTGAAATGGTCCCTTCCAGACATTCCTGTGGACTATCTTTAACAGAAGAGATAGAGATTAATGAAAGACTTGGTTTTAAAGGAAATAGAGAGTTCACCAGACAGACGTGGAGCCATCATACAGGCATTCCAGACAGAGGCACAGCATATGCAAAGTCATGAGAGGAGTGAAACACCATGGCAGATTTGGAGAATTTTGAATTTCTCCATATAAGTAGAGCATAGAGTGCTTGTGGTTGGATGAGTAGACAGGGGACGACTCCACACAAGGAGGTTGGAACCAGGTCTGAGGGCAATAGTGCCTCATTAAAGATTCACGAGTAGAAGAGAGACATAACTAAATTTTAATCCAAAATATCATTCTGGTTGCAACCGGAAGGTGGATTGCCAGGAGCAAGAATGAAAAAAGGAAAACCAAACAGGAGGCTTTTGCAGAGGTCTGCACAAGAAATCTCAAGGGACTGAAGAAAAGCAGAGATTAAGGAGAAGGAGATGGCTTGGAGAGATTTTTAGAGAAAGAACTGACAAGACTTGAAGTCTGAGCGGATGTTGCAGAGAGGAAGAAGATAGAAGCTAGGAAGACATTGCTGGGAGGGGTGAGCAGGAGGAGGAGAGGTCTGCATGGGAAGATGGAGTCCACTGTGAGCTGAGGTGACTGTAGCCCTTTCAGTGGAGCAGACAACAACTGGTGTTGTGGAGGCAACAACACATAGAAGTTATTGTATCCAAGGTAAGAAGATAGAGCACATTCTCTTGTCCTGTGGGAAATAATGTTACTCCAGGAACTAGGAAGCACCAGGGGAAACTAGCAAGCAAGTCAGCCGGCCACAGAAGGCCAAAGCAGCAAGGTCCAAAGCAGTGGTTACGGCACTGGCTGTCCATTAGCATCATTTTAGGGATTTTTAAATGACAGCTGCCTGGCTCCCACTCCCAGAATTTCTGACATCATCATGGGTATAAGGTACAAGACACTGTGGCGTTTCCAATGAACAGCTAGTTTTGAGAACCACAGGTATACACAAAGAGCTTCACAAACTTTACCGTGCAACCAGTGCCTGGGAATCTTATTACAATTCAGATTCTGACCCAAAAGGTCTTGGGAATGGGACCTGAGAACCCAAATTTATAACAAGTGCTTGGATGGTGCTGGTGTTGCCCATCTGAGAACCACTTTTTGGATAGCAAGGGTGTAGTAACACGCTTTTCAACTCAGGCCATTCCTGATATCCGTGAAACACAAATGTCTGGGGATAGGACTGAGGCAAAAAGAATTTTTAAGGACGCCCAGGTGATTCCAAGAATGACCCAGTTTGAGAATCACTGATGTAGCTTCTAGAAGATTGTAAGGTCATCACTAGGGCTCCAGTCAGACCGAACCTCAGTTCCATCCTGCTGTATTCTGCCTGGAAAGCAAGAACCTTCCTGTGCCTGGAGTGTAGAGCACAAGTGTCCACTGAATAAGTTTTTGTCCCGTATGCCTGGGTTGAACAGAACATGGAGCTGATAGTAGCAGCAAATAGGTTTTAAATAAATACTTGAAATGAAGTTTGCTGGGGCTAGAGTAGAAGGCTGCACAGGGTCCAGGAAGCACAGAAGAAAGGTGTGGCCATTTCCACTTTCTGAGGTGGGTGTCCAGGTACAGCAGCACAGAGAGGTTGACGCTTGACCCAAGACTTGGAAGATGAGGAACAGGTCACCAGATTGACAAGATGACAAGAAGGTGTTGGAGGCAGAGAGGAGTCTGAACCAAGTTATAATGTGTAGAAGAGCCTGCAGCAATCAGACCCCAGGCATGGGGGCTGGAGGCCATAAATATTTACTGAGCAGTGAGGGACAGGTTGGTGTTGTTCCAGGTGCCACCTGTCACCCAGTCAGACCCTTTGGACTGAGATCCAGCTCCCATTTACTGGTTCTATGACTTTAAGCAAGTAACTTCTTATCTTTTCCGTGTCCTCACCAATGAAACAATTACACCAACCTCATAGGTTGGTTGAGAAGATTAAATGAGTTCATACACACAAAGCACTTAGAAATAGAGCAGTTATGCAGGAGGTGCTCAGTAAATGTCCCCAGGCAGTGGTGGAGGTACCCAGGCAGGAGGTGGGTGCTGGGACCCTAGCCGGGTAGTGTGGCTGGAGAGAGGAGAAGACTGTGGAGAGATGGGGGATGTGGCAGGACTCACAATACCAAGCATGGGCTGTGTGTGCTCAGACTTCATTAGGAACACATGCTTTCAGTTGCATGTCCAATGACTGGAGAGAAGATACCACAGCATATGTGCCACCTCATAGATTAGACATGATGCAGCCCTGCAGATCAAATCCTCTCCACTCTTGGTTTTCCTGCCACTTCTATGAACATTTTTCCCTCCAGGTCACACCTATGTCTGAGCAGAGAGTTAGTTGCCTTCTGTTATTGACAAATATTAACAGAATGAGCCTTTTTCTTTCATAGCACCACAAACACCAGATTATTTACATAAAATGCACCAAATGGATCATTTAGCTACCCCTTGGAGAATAGGGTGAGCAGAGAACAGAACAGTGTCCAGTACTTGGCGGGTACCCAGAGTTTGCAGCACTATGTCTAGGCAAGAAGACTTTCTGCCTCTCTCCTGAATCTTGCTAATCCTTCCCACTGCTTGCTAACTCCCTGCCATCTTCTCTCAAACCTCTTTGATATATTTTATTCTCACACTCTTTTGGATACTGGGTTGGCCATCTTCTCCCTTCCCAAATATTCTGCACCACAGTTAAAGGCCCTTTCTTCCCAAGGTTTCAGTCTCATGTCAGTCTTGATTCTACTGCTCATCACAGCTTTAGTATGATTGATTTGGTATAACTGATTGTATGCTTTCCTCTTCTAACATGAACCCCTTGATCTCTTCCTCCCTCCTGCTAATGATGTTAAGAAACAAGCCAGTAGACTTGCCACTGCTGGGCTTCTCCAAGGCATCCAGAGCCCAGGGCCGTGCACATATGCAGTCTCTTTACATAGTTTGAAGTCCCAACGAGAAGGTAGCTTCTAATGTAACCCTGAATCAGAATAAGAAGTTCCTAACTTCTACTCATTCAGCAGAAACTGCTCACAGTTCACTTCTCCTCAAGGGATTGAAGAATTTAGGGAGTGGGAGATCGGTTGGGGGTATTTCTCACAGATTCGCTGAGCTCAGAGGAAAAAAGAGTCAGTGGGATGGTCCTTACCATTATGCAAAGCATTATGGGTCCTCGGATGATCCACCAGATTTCCTTATTCTTATTTTGTGCCCAGCACCTAAGGACAAAGAGTAGACAGTAGAAACAGACTTAAAACCCAAGAGTAGGTTGAATGTCAGAGTTTCATGCTCTCTGGAAGAGGGGTGCTTGCTGTCAAGACTTACTTCCCACCAATCATTCCCCTGAGAAGTGGGAGGGGTGGAAGAAGGGACTAAATTCTCTTTCCTTTAGTACTGGTGTTGTTGACTTGTCTTACCACTAAATTGCTCTTCAATGTTAACAGCTGGTGTGTATATCCTGCCATATTGTCTCCATGTTCATACAAAAATAAATCCTTAATTATATAGGTTTTTGCTTTTTGGTGGCGATTATTTGGGGGAAAAAAAATAAGCTCACAAAATACACATGATTCAGCAATAGGCTTAAAGCATGTTATTGAGCTGGGCACTATGGCTCACACCTATAATCCCAGCATTTTGAGAGGTTGATGTGGGAGGATTGCTTAAGCCTAGGAGTTCAAGACCAGCATGGACAATATAGCAAGACTGTATCTTCACAAAAAAGTAAAAAGTTAGCCAGGTGTGGTGGTGTGTGCCTGGAATCCCAGCTATTTGGGAGGCTAAGGCAGAAGGATCTTCTGTGCCCAAGACTGAGGTGAGTCGTGATCATGCTGCTGCACTCCAGCCTGGGCAACAGAGTGAGACCCTGGTTCAACAACAACAACAACAGAAAACATGCTATTGAGACTCAGTCCTTTAAAAGTCCCTATGAGAACTAACCTTTTTTTTAGTAGTCTTATAGTAATACACAATACAGGCATGCCACAATTTGTTCAAGTATTCCCATATTGATGAGCATTCGGGGATTTTTTTAGTTTGTTTTTGCTTTTTTTTCCCTCACTGTGACTGATGCTGTAATAATCATTCCTGTAATTTTGTACTTATATTCCCAGGGCTGCAGCTAACCTATACAGTATCTTTGTGCTAATTTGCACATGTAACTAAGTTAATAAGCTAGTTACCATAAGATCCCTGATTAGCTTATCTATACTCCTAAGTATATTCTAGATGGTCAAAATGTGAGAGAATAGATATTTTCTTTGGGAAAAATGGTGCAATTTCTTACATTTAGGCATATCTGGGAATGACTGGTTCATGGAAAAGTAAAGCCAGGTGAATTACCTACCCTGAATTCTCCAAATGTGCACGGGCGAAACCCCAGGGGACAACAAATAACATGGGGCAGACTGGGAAGAAAACACAGGAAAATGTAGTTAGGAGCTGGTTAGCCAATCCTGCCTGTCTTTTCCAGCTGATAGGGCTGGGCATGGGTGGTTAAAACTTTAAAAATCCAAATCACCATAGATTTGTGGGCTGTGAGAGCTAGAGAAACCTAAAATGGCACAGGACTTGTTCACTGTTTTACCACCTGAGGAAACCAAGACCCAGAGAGGAGAGGGGACTTTCCACTTGTCACAAAGCAGCTTAAAGTAAATCCAAGGACATTAACCAAAATCTCCTGAATTGTGGGCCCAAGTTATTTCCTCTGAATCCTACATCATCAAATTCTCCTGGTATTATGGACTGAATGTTTTTATCCTCCCAAAATTCACGTATTGAAGCCCTACCCCTAACATGATGGTATTTGGAGATAAGGCCTTTGGAGGTAATTAGGTTTAGATGAGGTCTGAGTTTGGGGTTCTCATGATGGGATTAGTACCCTTATTTAAAAATACCACAGAGCTTACTTTCTCTTGCTCTTCACCATGAAAGAACATAGCAAGAAGGCAGCTGTCCGCAAACCAGGAAGAGAGCCCTCACCAGATCCCAACAATACTGGACTTCCCAGCTTCCAGAACAATGAGAAATTAATATCTATCATTTAAGCCACACAAGTATTTTTATTATGGCATCCTAAGCAGACTAATAAGTTGGAGATGAGAATAAAGGAATATCTTTGAATTCCATCCAAGACCTCAGTTTTTGAAGGTGTGCACATGTGCACATGTGTGCAAACACACACACAGCCCTCTTCAGAGCTTCTTGTCACTGAGGACTTATGTATCCTAGAAGCCACCCTCCAGTTGGGCTTCTACTCTAGTCAAAGACTCTATAAGGGTTCCATGTTCTGCTGGGTGAGGAACAGGAGAGGAGAGGAGGCAGGGAGTCAGGTCACTCACCCCAACCCACCAGCAGGTATCTGGGCCACAGCCACCTGTTAGGGATCACTGTGGGCTCCAGCAGTGCATGCAGGTAATGGCCTTCAACCAGCAGCCATAAGTGATTAGTGCTCACGAAGTAGTGCAGGAGAACATGGACGGAGCGGCAGGAGGCCAACATCTGCAGAGGTCAGAACACCAAAAGTCAGTTCAGGCTTTCCCAGCATTTGACTCAGAGTGGGTGGATAAGGGCCTCCCCAGGCACAACCCTTCCCTTTTTACTCCCTTCTCTCCTGGACCATCTCAGAAAGGTTGGCAATAATATCAGAACATGAAGGAATGAAGGCTTCATGCAGATTTTAAAGATCAGCCTCTTCCTTAACATTCTAGACATTTTTAGACAAACAAAAACAGAAAATTCCATAAAGCGACTGCTTTATGGAAACACCAAAGACAGAGTATGTTCTCTAAGCTCAGTTCAATTAAGCCAGATATCAATAACTAAAAAATATTCTTATAATGATTAGAAATTAGAAAATCAACTTCTAAGTAACCCATGGATCAAAGAAAAAATTATAACAGAAATTAGAAATTACTTTTTAACTGAATGTAAGAAAAATACTGCATACCAAAACTTGTGGTATACTACTAATACCAAGCCCAGAATGAAACTTATATCCTTAAGTACATTTATTTAAAAAGAAAAAGGCCAAAAATGAATTATTTTAAACATCAAGTCAGAAAGTTAGAAAAAGAATAGCAAATTAAACTCAAAGAAAGTACATGGGAGCAAATAATAAAGATAAAAGAAGAAATTAATGAAATAGATAACATAAGTAAAAAGGACCAACAATGCCAAAAATGTGTTCTTTGAAAAGTACAATAAAATTGAGAAACTGCTGGAAAGAATGATCAAAAGATGAAAAAGAGCAAAGATAAAAATAATACCAGAAATGAAATTGAGAGCATCACTACAGATCTAATGGACTTTTAAAAGACCTAAAAGGAATATCACGAACAATATCATGCCAATACATTTGAAAAGTTAGATGAAATAGACACATTTCTAGAAAAACTATAGCTGACAGAATAAATAGAAAATCTGAATATAAGATTTATAACTGACTAGGCATAATGGCTCATGCCTATAATCCTAGCACTTTGGGAGGCCAAGGCAGGCAGCCCAGATAACATAGCAAGACCCCATCTCTACAAAATTTTAAAAATTAGCTGGTCATGGTGGTGCACACCTGTAGTCTCAGCTGCTTGGGAGGCTGAGGTGGGAGAATCATTTGAGCCCAGGAGTTTGAGGTTACAGTGAGCTATAATCACACCACTGCACTCCAGCCTAGGTGACAGAGTGAGACTCAGCCTTTTAAAAGATTCATAATTAATCCATAATTTAAAGCTTTTCAATAGAGAAAACTCTGGGTCTAAATGGCTTCATTGGCATAATCTATCAAAATTTAAGGAAGAAATAATACTAATCTTAAATTTTTCTAGAGAATAGTGTAAGAGGGCACAAGTTTCAATTTGTTTTAAGAGATCAGCACAAACTTGATACCCAAATCTAACAAAGGCATTACAAGGAAAGAAAATTACTATCCAGTTTTTCTCATGAATGCAAATGAAGAAATACTAAATAAAACAGTATTAGCAAACTGAATCCAGCATTGTAAGTGAAAGAAATAATATATCAAAACCTAGTTGGGCTTATTCCAGGAATGCAAGGTTAATTTAACAGGGTACTGCATTATTAGCAGGATAAAGGCAAAACCGTCTCAATAGACACAGATTAGAATGTAGAAAAACTCTGCTGTTTAAAAAAATAGTACGATCATCCCTTGGTACCCACGGGTTATTGGTTTCAGGACACCTGTGGATACCAAAATCTGAGGATGTTCAAGTCCTTGATATAAACAGCATATTATTTGCATATAATCTACACACAGGCCAGGCACAGTGACTCATGCCTGTAATCCCAGCACTTCGAGGGGTTAAGGTAGGAGGATTGCTTGAGTCCCGGAGTTTGAGACCAGACTAGGCAATATATGAGATCTCCTCTCTACAAAAAATCAGCTGGGCCTGGGGGCATGTGCCTATAGTCCCAGCTACTTGAGAGTCTAAGGCAGAAGGACGGCCCGAGCCCAAGAGGTTGAGGCTATGGTGAGCCATGTTGATTATGCTACTGCGCTCCAACCTGAATGACAGAGAGAGACCCCAACTAAAAAACAAACAAAACAAAACAAAACTACACCCATCCTCCTGTATATCTTAAATCATCTCTAGATTACTTATAATACTTAATGCAATGTAGACGCTGTGCAAACAGTTATGTTGTATCATTTAGGCAACAATGACCAAAAGTCTGTACACATTCAATACAGATGCAACCATTCTTTTTTCCCCCCAAATATTTCCATCCACAGATTGTTGAATCCATGGATGCAGAATTCATGGATACTAAGGACCAGCTACAACTTCAAGAAAAGTGGATCTAGTCTAATTCTTTCATTTACAGATGAAGAAATTTCCCATACAGGGACAAACAGCAGCCACAGTAAACACTTCTGCCTCTGGTTTCCTTTACCTGGTCAACTCTCAGGAGGTGGTTGTTTTACATCATATGCTGCCTCTCTAACCAGAATATCTTGGACACCGCTTTATCTCCTCCTTCTCCTCCTCAGTCCCACCTGCCTGCCCTCTCATTCCCAGGACTGACCCATCACATGGGAGAGCTAATTTAAATGGTAGGGAAGGGGATTACCTCTGGCACGTAGGACATCCACCCACTCTCATTGTTGGGCCTCTTGGAGTAAGAGTTGTGGGAAACGACATCCTTCACTAGTACAACCAGGGCTTTCAGGATGAAAGAAGCAAACAAATTCATATGGATGTAGTTGCGTGTGCAGTGGAGTTTTCTGTGCAAGGAGAAAACCAAATGACTTACCTTAGGAAAGAATAGTTTGGACCAACAGATCTATGTCTGTCATGCCTGTGTATCTACCACTAAAGACAGAGGATTATAGTTTAGGCTCCAGAGATGGACTTCTGTGTTATGTATTGTCTCTATGCCTCATTTTCCTCATCTGTAAAGTGGAGGTAATAATAACTATCATGTATACAACATGTTCAACATACCGGGTCATCTTCCAAACCATTTACATGTGCATGTACTTAGGAATATTCTTACTCCTTACCACCACTGGAGGAGTAGGCATTATTATCTTGATTTTTGTAAATGAAAGAATTTAAGCAGAAGGATTAAGTCACCCACCAAAGGATTAAGTCACTTGTCCAAAGTCCCAGAGCAGTAAGTGGTAGAGCTAAGATCACACCCAGAAACTTGGAGACCAAAGTAGAGTTCTCCAAGGATCTGCTGCCTCTGAGAACAAGAGCACTTACCACCAAGGGTTTGGGGATGATTAGTCCATTAAATCTGTGTAAAGGGCACATAAAAGTGTCATCTCTCACTACCTCTCTCTCACCCACCTGGAGTCTCCTGTGGGCTTTTTGTCACACTGGCTGATGTGACACTGTGTGTCCTCAGTCTGTAGCTGAAATGACCCTTTTCTTACCACTGTGCTCTCTCTGCAGCATATACCCAGTCCTACTTTGCTTTAGAGTTATCATTCAATTTTTAAGGGACTTGAGGCAGATCTTTGTGTTTTGTGATTTAGGCATCCTTCTGCCTAACTAGACTAGGGACTACTTAAGGGCAGTGACTGGGTCCCACTCTTCCCTGAGCCTGAGACATTGCTTGGTTGACCCAGATTTAACTGATATTACTTCCTGCAGAACTGGATGATTATCTTCTCCAGGTTTGATCCTGAGACTTTGGAAAGGCGCATGGAAGAAGGAGGTCACAGATGGTTAATGGGCGCAGGCTGGGGAATTCACCCCTAGGTCAAGAATTGCTCTCCCAGTGGGGTAGATGGTCATGATTCAGCTCCGGGGCATCCTGGAATTGAGGAGTCAAATGGGGTCATACCTAAAGCTAGCAGAGCCCAGGTTGGGAGCTGCTCTGGAACCAGCATTCGGGCCTCTTGCACTTGTGCTAAATGCCCATTCTGTCCCATTATACTTCCTTATGTTCCTGAATGGGCTGAGACCGAGAGACGTCCTTGGAGGCCTTCCTACTAGGTCCATGAATGTCTCACTTGGGTGAATTCTAAAAAACATAATTTAGTAAAATGCACTCTGGCTTTGGATTCTGAAAGACAGTCTAAGGAGAAATGCTGGGATCCTGGACTTCTTGGTTGTGATTCTCTATCACCTAACAGCTGTGTGATCTTGGACAAGTTACTTCATCTCTCCATGTTTCACTTAACTGATTTATAAAATGGGGGAAATAATAATGCTAGCCTCCTAGGATTAGAAGTAATCCTAATTTGGATTAGGATGAGATTTAAATGACTTCCTGCATGTAAAGTACTTACAAGTCAGCACTTACATTTGATAGTTAATTGGAACCCAAGGGCCCTGAAATAAAATGTCAGCTCTTTCACTCACTCACATGCCTTGAGGACAATTCTTAATCTCTTCTGTAAAAAGAAGGCCCCTGATAGAGCTGAGGTGAGCAAGGGTTGTGATGGTAATTGGTGTGATTGGGGATTTAGACCAGGGCTAGGCGCTCAGAAGGTGTCTAATCCAAAAGAGGCAAGGCACTCAGGAGTCTGGGATTCAAGTTGGCTGTGCAGCCAACTGACTTGAAGGCCAGAGGCAATGCAATGCCTTTGACTGGGACTTTGCTATCCCTTTCTTCCCCTTCATCTGCAAAATGGGACGGGTGGACTCAAGACTTAGATCACTTCCCGCCCAGTCTTCCATTGCCTTCTGGAGGTAGACAATGAGCAAATTACACAATATCATAATCTCCCCTATGGTTTTGCCATAATTTTGCCTTCCACTGTTTCAATTAGCCCCATCAGCCGTGGTCAATGGTGGCTAAAAATATTAAGTGAGAAATATCAGAAATACATAATTCATAAGTTTTAAATTCTGTGCCATTCTGATAGTGTGATGAAACCTCATGCTGATGTTCTCTATCTCTCCTTCATCACAAAAAGAAGGGTAAATCCAATACAATAAGATATTTTGAGAGACAGGCCATGTTCACATAACTTTTTTTTTTTTTTTTTGAGTTGGAGTCTCACTCCATTGCCCAGGCTGGAGTGCAGTGGCACGCCACCCCAGCGTCAACCTGCTGAGATACGGCAATCCTTCCACCTCAGCCTTGCAAGTAGCTGGAATTACAGGCGCGTGCTACTACACCCAGCATAGAGATGAGGTCTCGCCAAGTTGCCTGGGCTGGTCTCCAGCCTGCGGGCTTAGGCAATCCACTTGTCTCGGCCTTCCAAAGTGCTAGGATTACAGGCTGAGCCACGGAGCCTGGCCCACATAACTTTTATTACAGCATATTATAATTGTTCTATTTTATTACTAGTTATTGCTGTTAATTTCTTATTGTGCATAATGTACTAACTTTATAATAGGTATGTATACAGTATAAGAAAAAACATAGTATATATACAAAGAGTATTATTCACAGTTTTCAGCATCTATCTGGAGTCTTGGAATGTATCCCCTCGCAGATAAGAGAGGACAGCTGTTCATGCTCGAACACATGTCTGCAGAAGTTCCACTCACCGAAGAAACAAGAGGAGGGTGAGAGCCAGGAAGAGGGAGATGAGAGAGAGGGAGTATCCCACGGTGTACATCAGCTGCAAGGTTGACAGCAAGGGATAATGGTCCACCTAAACACAGAGGAAGAACAGACATGACCACCAAGCCAGGGGGCCTATGGCCCCCAGCCCCCAGCTCCATGCCCAGGGCCACCAAGGGTCTAGCACGGACTGAGACCTGCCTTCCCCTCCCTACCTCTTCCCCCCTCCCTCATGCTTTTAAACCTTTTTTTCTCTTTCCTTGTTGACACCTAAGTAGGGTAGCTTAGGCCACTCTCTGGCATGTTGCAGAAGCCAAGGAGCCTGAGTGAGTAAAGAGCCCACTGTGGGCCTTCTCCTATGACTGGACTCACAGTCCTGCATTGATACATCAAAAGCCACAATGTCATAAAGAAATTGTGTCCAGGACAAGAGGGTGCTTTGGGATGGAGGGTAGGCTTTGTTTTTGTTTTTTGTTTTTTTTCTGAGACAAGGTTTTACTCTGTAGCTCATGCTGGAGTGTAGTATCATAATCCCAGTTCATTACAGTTTTACCTCCTGGACTCAAGTGATCCTCCTATCTCAGCCTCCCGAGTAGCCACTATGCTTGGCTAATTCTTTTTTTTAATTAGTATTATTTGTGGAGATGAGGTCTCACTATGTTGCCCAGGCTGCTCTTGAACTCCTGGACTCAAGCGATCCTCCCACCTTGGCACCCCAAAGTGCTGGAATTACAGGCATGGGCTATTGTGCCTAACTGAGAACAAGCTTTTCAACCTGAGAGTGCTGTCCCTGGAGTCTAGGAGTCCTTCTTTCTGGAGGATGGGCCATATTGCTGTCTGAACGTCTCCCTTCTAAAGTAACTTTTTATAGATGACATCTTGAAAGAAGACCCAGTGAAACAATGGAATATTATCTCTGATATGGCCTGATTGTAAATAGAAGATAAGAAGAAATTCTGTGTTATTAAGTAGGTTTTTGTTCTATTTTTATGAGATATTTTGATCTTTAGTTTTATTTTCTTGAAACATCTTTGTCTGGTCTTGGAGTATGTTTGATGATGACCTCATAGACTGAGTTGGAAAGTATTTTCTCCTTTTCAATGAGTTTGTGTAGAATTGTTACTATTTAGTCCTGCAATATTTGGTAGAATTCACCATTAGAGACAAATAGATCTGAAATTTCCTATGTGAGTGAGTTTGTAACTACAATGCAATTTTATGAATAGATATAAGGCTATTTAGGTTATCTATTTTTTTAAGTGAACTTTGGTAGTTTGGTTTTTTTAAAAAGAATTTGTCCATTTTATCCGGCTTGTGAAAATGATTGGCAGAAAGATGTTCTTAAAAATCCTTTTTTATCCTTTTAATATCTAGAGGATCAGTAGTGATGTCTCATCTCTACTCTTGATATAATTCATGGCCTCCCACTTTTTCTCTCTTTTTTTCGGTCTCTCATCGCCAGTTCTTTCTCTTTTTGATAAATCTTTCAAGGAGAAAAGAAACAAGAGCAATTAGAGTCTTGACAGGATTATAGGGATCTTGATGAGGTCCCTATCAGATTTATTGATCTTAAATAACCAAGTTTAGGTTTCATTGATTTTTTTCCCCTACTTTTCTGTTTTTGATTTAAGTAATTTCTGTTTCTTGCCTTTTTATTTCTTTTTTTCTGCTTAGAGTTTAATATGTTTCCTTTGCTAATTTTTAAGGTGGATGTTAAGCCATTGATTTGATACCTTTCCACTTTTCTATTACAAAAACGTTATATAAAAATTTACTTCAATCACTGCTTTAGTTGTATCACAGAATTTTTGATATATTGTACTTTCACTTTTATCTACTAAATAAAAATTTACTGATTTCCCTTATGATTTTTTATTTGACTTATGGGTTAGTTAGAAGTACATTGTTATTTTGAAAATGTTTGAGGATTTTTTTCTAGATATCTTTCTACCATTGATTTCTAATTTAATTCCATCATGGTCAGAGAACATATTTTGTATGATTTGCAAAACTTTAAATTTATTTATCTCTTAATGAGATTTTAAGAATTTACCCTCATATTTACCATTTCTAGTGCTCTTCATTCCTTTACAAAGATCAAAATGTTCATGTGGTATGTTTTTCTTTCTGTGTTAAGGACTTCCTTAAACACTTCTTGTGGTGATGGTGGTCTGGACGCAGAGTTCTCTGTGCAGCTTTTGAATTTTCCAAATTAATCCCAACCTTATTTCCATCAAGAATTGTCTTTTATGGACCTCACGAAGATCCCTATAATCGTGTTAAGTCTCTAATTGCTCTTGTTTGTTTTTTTCTCCTTGAAGCTAAACTTATTTTCTAAGAGCAGTGCAAATCTGTTTCTTACAAGAAATCTTCCTCGCATGCCTCTCTGCTTATTGTTAACTCTTATTGTCAAAGTACTGGTAGTCTGTTTCACCAATTGGGGCATCAATTATATTATTCATTAATGGTTTGTTTGCATTCATCTTGTCTTTTCAGATAGAATATAAATATCTTGAAAGTAGAGAAGTGTTTTGTGCTTCTACACAGAATGGTGTGGTTTCTTTAAATTGATTGTTCTGGTGGCATATCAAGACTTTACTGCATCATTTTAACATTATTTATTTTATTTTATTTATTGGAGATAGACTACCCAATTAAATAATCTATTTTTTCTGAATTATAATTTTTTAGAACATATGTTTGTGTTTTATGCTTTCTAAGGAACAAATTAGGAGACATTTTGTTGTTGCTGTTGTTGTTTGTCTATGTCTTAGTTTGGGTTTCCAAGAAGCAGATCCTGAGACAAGAATTGGAATGCAAGTGGTTTATATGGAAAGTGAAAACATCATCAGTAGGGGAAGGGAGAAGATAAGGCAAATAACAGATGCATTATCAAGCCAGTTATCACAGTGGGAAGCTGGAGCTTAATCTCACAAGGAAGTTCTGGAAACCTCAGGGTGAACTACTACAAAACCATGGGAGCTGGGGCATTTATATACCAACTCCTGCCAGGCACTGGTTGAGGGTTACTCCCAGGGGGGGCATTAATTCCCCAGCACTTCCAACTTGCATTGCAGCAAACAAAGTGGGTTCCAGGAATCAAAGAACTAGTAAAGAAATGCAGGTTCTAGGCCAGGCTCAGTGGCTCAGCCTGTAACCCCAGCACCTTGGGAGGCAGAGGTGAGTGGATTGCCTGAGCCAGCAGGTTCGAGACCCACCCAGGAAACTTGGCGAGACCACGTCTGTACAATAAGTCAAAAATTAGCTGGCCGTGGTAGTGCGCACCTGTAGTTCTGGCTACTTGGAAGACTGCAGTGCCTTGCAGGAGCCCAGCAGGTCCGGGCTGCGGTGGCCAGGAGCATGTCACTGCACTCCATTCTGGGCAACAGAGTGAGACTCCAACTCAAAAAAAAGAAAAAAGAAATGCAGGTTCTAGTAGTGAGAAGTTAGGCAGTTGCGTACTGAATGGATTAGGGTGAGGGGATACAGGCAGGGCATCAACAGCATCTACTACCGTTGGTTTAATTATGTTTCCTTAGAGGATTTTCTTTTTTTTTTCTTTTAAAGATGTGGGGTACAAATCAGGATTAGATATACAAGTGGTACTTGTACAGGTAAAGCTTAGGCCTCCCTTTGGTCTCCACTTCGCTTGGTTTGAGATCAGGGTAGGTACCCTTATTGATGTTATATGCTACCCACCTCCTATCCCTCCTCCACCCCCCTGGCAGCTTCCAGCTACTGTCAATCCCTTTCTTATAGTAGTATGGTAAATGTTCTTAAAACATCCTCTAATTCAGGTCTCTGCCAAAACCTGACTTCTTTCCTAGAGGCTCCAAAACATCCAGACAATCTCCAGCTCATTCTTGGTACCAATAGGTGAGTCTTAAGTCACTTAGACACCTTTATGAAAAGCTTTCTCACCGTTGTGTAATACACATCCTCTGAGGAAATAGATTGCTGAAGGGAGCACAGAAAAGTATACTCCCTATAGAGGGGACTTTGGCAATATGTAACAAAATTATATATGCATCTATGTTTAATCCAGTGGTCTCATTTCTAGGAGTCTTCCAAAAGATATACTGCCACAAATATGATTCAACATACACATACAAGGTTATTCACTGTGGCAGTGTTAGTAATAAAAGACTGGAAATAACTGAAATGACCATAGGACAATGAACAAACTCTGCTAGATACACGGGGTGGAGTGCCATGTAGCTAGCTGTTAAAATAGAAGAGCATGTGCAAGAAAGAAAAGAAATGGATGTCTAGGAACTGACATAGAATGAGTTCCAGGATATGTTATTAAATGAAAAAACCAAAATGCAGAATCTGGTATACTGTTTTTTTGTGTTAAAAAAATGGGGAAAACATATTTATAAATTTGCTTAGTTTTGCAAAAGGAAACGTAAGACGCATATTATAATTCAATAAAAAAACTAGAAAATATGAGCCAGAAAATAATAAAAATTACTATCTACGGGGGATAGGTAGGAAGAGGGTGAAGAAAATAATGGTGAGAGCAAAACTTCTCTGTTGTCTACCTTTTTATATAGTTTTGGCTTTCAAACCCTGTCAATACTCTAGATATTAAAAAATAAAATCAAAGAGAAAAGAGTGAAAGGAAAACCCTCAACACTAATAGAAACAAATGAGTAAAATCAAACATCTAACTAAAAACATGACCATGTCGAGAAAATAATTATTTCAAATAACTATGAACACAATACTCTGAGCTTAGGATATAGTCTAAATACAAAAAAGAGTTGCAAAGAAATATGAAAATTTACCAAGCCAGGTTACATTTTCAGTGACTATTTTATTTTATTTTTATTTTTTTGAGTCGGAGTCTCATTCTGTCACCTAGTCTGGAGTGCAGTGGCATGCGCATAGCCACCGTAGCCTCCACCTGCTGGGTGGGCTCAGGCGATCCTTTCGCCTCAGCCTTCCAAGTAGCCGGAACTACAGGCTCCTGCCACCACATCCGGCTAAATTTTTGATTTATTGTAGAGACAAGGTCTTGCCAAATTGCCCAGGCTGGTTTCAAACCCTGGGTTCATGCAATTCTCTCACCTCCACCTCCCAAAGTGC